CCAAAGAGCCAACAATAGCAGAACTATCTACTTTTCATAGGATATATTATTCTGCAATTAGCAATGATGTGTGCATGAGTTTTAACTATGTAAGAGAAATATGATAGAACATTAAATAGAAAAGGTAGGAAACAGAACTACAAACACAGTATTACCCCCACCCCCACTCCATTACAACACTAACAGACACCTACAAATATATAACTGGAGGAAATGCACCAATATTTGAGAGATGAGCTTATGGGTAATTTTTATTTTCTATTTCATTATGTGTCTCCATTTTCCAATGTTCAGCAATGAGCATGCTCTCACTTTTGTGATCAGTAATTACAAGTTTCACTTAAAAGAAGGAAGTAGTATAGAAATCCACACAAAGTACATTATTGAGTGCAATGTCCTCCTTTTTATTAAATTATAAAACTGACTCTTGTCAATACACACACTTTTGGAAATAGAATGTTTTTCTCAAGTATCTGCTTTTGTGGAGCATGTGATTTTAAACACAAAAAAATTTCTATACCAATTTCTTGGTCTTCAAGCTATTTATCACTGGTAGCCAAACTACCAGGTATAGCTATTACATATCCAGTCAAAATTTATGGAAAATATTATAACAACAAATACCTTGAAAAGATGACACAGTACAGAGAAAATTATAGCTATTAAACTGGTATAAAAATTTAGTCAAAAAGTTTTAGTCCATTATGGTTTTGCATAAAGCTTCATAGGAAGAAAATTTAAGACACTTCTTATCAAAGGCACTTAGAGTTGTAACAAAATACTTACTTGAAATTAGTTTGAGCCCAACAGTATTTTTATTCCTTTTTTAACATTCTCTCATTCAAACAGTCCTTGAAAACAGCTATTAAGGAGAAAAAATAGTTACTATTTCTTAATATACATTGTTAAAAATATGCAAACAGAATTAATACAGGTTTTGGTCCACTGAAGCAGGTAACAGTGTCAGACTGTAGTGTTTGTTTTCTCTTTAATTCTGAGCAAAAAGCCATCAAATCCTCAGACCCGCAGATACAGCCTTCAGGTCTTAATTTGCACTGGCTGCCTCAAGTTCCCCGTGAAGAAACAGGAGCTCACTCAGGTCCTGCTCTATCCCCATAGTACATTCCAACTAGAAAAGAACCGATTAACAATTTATTTAACAAAACCCCGTGGCTCCACAGGAGTGTTGCTCTGAGGTGGCAGCAGCGGGCACGGAGTGTCAGTTCTCAGGCTCCTATAGTTCTGTGTCTCGGTATCGGGAAGGCTGGCCGTAATAACCGCGTTTGGAGTGTTCTGACAGCTGCTGGCGGTATTCTTCCTCCTCGGCATCACTGTCATAACTCCCTCTGGGATCCTGATGAAGTCTCAGAGGACCTTTCTGTGGCTCAGGGGGCCTGGAACTAACAAAGTGAGAGGGTTAGGTGCAGCCTAAAACTTCTCTGGGCTCCCAAGGGCTCATGGAGCTGCAGTGATGTGTCCAGAAGGCAACTGCTTACCTGGGACCCACACTGTGCTGACAAAACAGGGGCACTTCTGGCTCTGCTCCAGGTTTGCAGAGTGGTGCAGGTAGGCATAGATCAAGGCCAATACTCACTCGGGCAGTGAGGAAGGAAGCCCCATGTGCTCCCTGGCCTAAGAATTCCCCAGCTGGAAAAGGGGTGCCTTCCCCACCCCAAGTTCACTGCTACAAGTTCACCCAGCAGAGTGAGTTCTCTGCCAGTTATACCAAATCCTTTCTGTTGCCAGGGGCCACCTGGCTGCTGTGCCACCATTCAATTGGTAAAGAAATCTGCCTCTAGTTTCCTATTGCTGTAAAACTAGACTCTAGCTTCCAGTCAAAATGACTGCAAGAAAATTTTGATTTACTATTTTTTTCTATTCTCAGAACAGGAAATGGCCTCAACAGAGGGACACTGGGATAATTCCTAGTGCTTACATAGCATTTTAAATATAAAGCATCATACCAACACTGGTCAGTTGTCACCTTCCCTTCAGACTATGGTTTAGCACGAGTGGCCTGACTTTGCTAGATGATGCAAAAAAATTAAAAAGCATGGTAAGAGCCAGAAAATATCAGTGACAAAACAATTAGTGTCTAAGCCCCAGGAATTTTGCTCATGTGCTATCCTAACATAATTTAACATACCTGTGCTCCAATGAGTCAAAGGGCGCTGATTTGAAATGTCAATGATTGTTTTAGCACACACAAAATTACCATGATATTTTGTTTCTACAATCCTTACAATTAAATCTAACTGAATAAGTAAGGTAAAGAGTTAACCAGGGAGGAAAAATCTTGTTACTTTGAAATGCAGGTGAAGAAAATGCTTATGAGTCCAACTTCTAGACAAAGCCCTGTTTTGCACAAATACCTGCCGAGCATCCTGCCTTACCTTGAGTACTGGGGTAGGCCAGGGTCTGGCTTGTGTGTCTTGATTGGTACAGCATAGATATCAGGATGCTTCTGAGCAATTTCAATCTGTGGTGATTAAGGGTAAAAAAAGAAAGAACAAGGGGGAAAGAATGAATGCTTGGATGGTCAGCTTGCTGGCTTCCTACTGG